GTAAGAAAGATTTTGTTATGAATGTTCTCATTACAGTGTGTCATGGATAACCAACAGCATACAGTTTGTACCTTGAGATTCAAGTTTGCTGTTGTTATATTGTTGTCCCATATTTTTATGTTAATTTTTTAATTTAAATGGTAAATACAGATATCTTTATTCAGTTAACAAAGGAGTAGTCATTAAGAGATGGGGACTGAAACAAAATAGTGAGAAATATAAGTTCTGTTTCCTCTTAAAATATGAAAATATAGAATAAGACAAACACATACAGTACAATAAGTGATGGATGAGTATGTATGTTTGTAAAAAGATAGTAAAACCAGTAAAGAACAAAAGCAATCCTGTAGCCTTCCCTAGCTCTCTGATCAGCAGGTAAATGTTCAGAATTTACTTAAACATTTTTACCCAGTCTGCAGGTAATATATATCCTAAGTTCTGCATATAATAACGTAAATTTATGCGGGTATTCCCATCCATAATGTTAGATATTTATTTGTGTTCCACAATTTGGACCACAATATTTTGTGATAGAGTACTTCAGATATTGTCACTGGTTTCAAAACGGCACAGCCTAAAGTTTGCTACTGACTGTAGATCTATCAGTATAGTTTTTATCTGAAATAAAGTAATGGTCTCTTTTAACATCTGTCTTCCTTCCAGTGAATGGGCCAATTGAGGGATGTATTTTGTCCTGGTCTTTTGTAGTAACCTGTATTCTGATCAGATCTGACTATAATAATTACCTTCATTATTATTATTTAAGTGATTTCACTAGTCTTCTAATAGAAACCTGAAATAATGTAGTATGTGCATGACAGTGCCAGCCAGTGAGGAAGAAGAGAACCTGCCTATGGAGCCGCAAGAGCAAGCTACAACCCACCAGTCTCCTTATTAGACACCTAGGAGTTGTCTTCTCTGTCCTTACAGCAGGTAGGCAGATATGAAGTGTGGCAATTACCTCTCCCCTATCTTATCAATAATTAATACTTTTCACTTGTGTTCTGTTCTCTTCTTTCTAGTTACTACCCCTGTTCATCACCACACTTGCTACGTGTCTTGTGCTGTGCATTTGCACATCTGTCACATGTTTGCTTGTACTCTTCTTGGGCAGAAAGGAGCACACAGAAAATTTTGGATTCTTTGTTATCTATTGTACATCTCTGCAAACACGTTGCTAAATGTCTTGGGAGAGGGCAAAATAATGGTCAGCAAAACATTACTATGAATTTGAGGGGAGGAGGTTGGTTTTCTCTACCTTACTCTGCCAACACTATATCAGCTGCAAGTAAAATACAGTTCAATACTCACAGTGTAAGTCTGTATTACCTTGCAGATGTTTAGCTTATATTGGTATTTTTCTTCTAACGGCCCTCTGACGTACTGATCCTCTTATCCATTGCAGCTTCTTTGCACTATGTTGGCATGTGCAAGCTAACTGTAAATGCTCAGCAGGACATTTAACTTAGCATCTTATTTGCCTCGTCACAGGACGACGCGTGCCTGAGGATATTTAGCCTTGTCCTGACTGACGGTAGGCCCAGGGCAGGGGGCTGGCAGAGCTCAGATTTGCTCTACCTTTCCAACACTGACAGAAGCCACCGAGGAACCTACATGACTGGTCTAACTTAGCAGAGCTTGGCAACAGCTTGGCCCTGCAGTCAGGCAGCCTGTTCTGGTTGCAGATGGTTCCCTGATTTCTCTCTGCTGAAGCATCCTGTCAGCTTACTCCCAGGCTCCTGCTGA